AATACTGTAGTCTTCTTAGCCAAATAAAAAGGCAATGAAGAAACCAGGACATTACATTTACCAAGATGGCCTGTCGCAGCCAGTCTGATATGGTAGAAAGCACAATTTTGTGGATGTTGCTTATGACGAGAGCTTAGTGTCAGCAGAGGAATCAACAAGTACTCTGAAATAAAAGATTAAATTGAACAATTGTTGTTGTCTACCTTCAATCAAAGAAGATTGCTCTGCAGTTGCAGGCTCTTCCAAGTGTTTTTCTCTATCAGCCAAGGTTTTAGCCAGAATCTTCAGCTGAAGATTCTTCATGCAAGAGCTGACCTCCTGGCCTCTGCCCTTTGGAGTTTTTCTCTGATGATGAGCTAGAGATTGAGAACTGCATTCACACCTGCTCAGCCCTCTCCACATCTTTCCTGCCTTGAAGTCTAGCATAGACAGTCAGTGATATTGCTTGTAAACAGTTCCACTCCTCTATTATTCTTTGTACTGCTATATGCTGGGACCACCTTTTCCTGCTTTCCACAGATAGTGTATAAAAATGCTTGGAAATAGTGCAATTTCACACCAGCTGAATTGATGTTCCGCAGCCAACATTGTAGGATCAATTTTTATTTCAAGTCTTATTATTTAAGAGTATCTCGTACGTATTTGAGCTCCTCTCCTTTAAAAAAAATCAAGGCTAGTTGTGAAAAATATTAAGATGAAGTGGGCTGAGAAGACATGATATTGCAGCTTTGTGAAGAGATTTAATATGTGAAAATGCAAGCTCTGAATGCTTGTAGAATGCTCTTGTAGAGCATAATTTTGGTTGGCCTTGTGTGTACAGAGGTAGTTGGTGCTACTTGAATGAATAAATGTAGTTGGTGCTACTGATTTTATCTAGACTGTTTAGATTTAAATCTAAAAACTTTAAATTCTGAGATATAGTTAGGTTTGTGTTCAGGTATAGAAAGTCAACTGAAATAGATGTGTCAAAGTATATGGTATTTACCATGTCTTTATGGTTTTCTTACAGCAATCAGGAACAAAATGGGCTGGAATGGCAGGAATCAGTGCAGGTAAAATGTCAATCCTATMAAAGAATCCTAACTGTGACTTTCTGAAAAGGGTTTTAAGAGCTCTTAAAAATACAGGTGAGCTGTCTCTAAGAAAATACCCAGGTTCTTTACAGCAGAAAAAGATGTCTTGGAGAAAACAATCTGGTCCTTCATAAAAGACGAAAAAAATTGCTTGCTGATTTGATTTAGATTTGATATTTACAACACTGAAAACAAGTGAAGTTACCATGAGGACATAAAGCTCCAACACACTATATGAGCATCATTGAATGAGTCAAATAAGTGCTTACAGTAGCTCTGACTGGAAGACCGTTTAGAACAAAGGTTTTCTGTGAGCTAATTCTCATGAGCAAGTAGATCTTCTACAGTATTTTTAACAAGATGAAAATATGAAATAACCCCTTGTGACAGCCTACATTCAGTTACAAACACTGAATATTGCTATAAAACGACATGTATTTGTGCTGCAATATTATTAAAGAATACATAGCAATGTTACGTATACACACGTGTATACACACATAGGCACACATTCCTTACTAGAGTGGGATTTATATAATGCTATTAAGGTCAGGATATTTTGAGAAATCTTAAAGTGCATCCTTTACCATATGCTGAAAAGGCTATACAAATCCAGCAAGCTAAGCTTAACTATCTAAATGACAAAGATATGCACTAGATTTGGGCTCTCTTCTAAAATATTGTGCGTACAGACACTCAAATGAAATATAGGCATGTTTTGATGCAGTATGCCCACAGCATGCAAGCTGAGACCCTGGCAGAGCTGTGCAGTGCATTGCTGCCCTCTGGTGCAGCTTGATGCAAAAAGACTGAATATTCAAGTGTATACTTGGTGATGCTTGCTTATTAGAGCAATGTTAGTTAACAAATCGCGTCCTGTTTTCATATCTCACAAATTCTGAAGCCTAGTTAGAAGGGTGGTGTTCCCAAAACCCAAATGAGCACTCACAAATGAGTCAGGAGAGCACTCCTTTTTTGACATTGTGTCACAAAATTGATCAAGGGGAGATGTAACATGGGGCGTGAGATACCTTCACAACACAAAATTTGCTTGAGCAGTCACAGCATAGTGATTCCCAATATTGTCACTTATGCTTCTTGTATAACCTTGTCTGGTATACCTAACTAACACAGAGGCACTGATTCTGGTAAGTCCTTGTTAGCGTTTATCTCCTGGTCTATCTTCTTCCTTGCATACATGTATTACTAGAACTCTCTCATTAAAAAATTAATGTGATTTAGCTATTCTTTTTTATCCTAAAAGGGAGCCAATAAAGGAAATATCTCCAAATAAAAACCAGGCAGGATTAAACATTAAACTGCAAGCTGATCTCCCTCTTTGACATCCTCCTAAATTCAACACCGTCACATGAGATACATACCACACATACACACTCCATTAAATTTCAATTTTAAATTGGAACGTCACTGGAGAGACATGAAAACAAAAACATTCAGAGTACAAAAACAGACTTCACATAATGCTTTCTGACTGAAACTCAGCTTTTTCTGTTATATTTAATCTGATTTATTTTATATGAATAATTTGTAAAACAGAAGCATGGATCTGAATTTGGACTTCAAGAGCTTCAGTGTGGGAATGTTTTTGCATTTCAAGATTGAGTTCTAGATAACCTTTACACCTCTTAAGATCATTATGCCTCCTGAAGCTTAATACATGTCCCTAAGCTATTTCTAGTATAGCTTTGATTACTCAGTGTATTTACTGCCATATGAAAGTAATATCACATTAATACATCTCTTACATGCAGTGATTTATGGAATCTGCCTATGCACATTTATGAATGCTGGCTTATAGCCTGATGTTGTACCTATACTGCATAAGTGAATGATTAGACACTTGTTCATGTGCTTTAGCATATCTCTCCCAGATGAAGAGCAATGAAGAGCTATTAACTTGTGTGAATGTTCTGACTAAACAGTGGTGCGATAAGAAAGCTGTCTGAGCCAGCAAAGTACCTTTCATGGTGTTCTCTGCCAAGAGCTAGTAAAGATGAGAGTGGGAAATAGCTAGCAGCAGAGGACAGAAGACAGGTGCTGATAAAGAAAGAGAGATTTACAAAGCCTCCAAAGAAGTATCAGGGCAGAAAAAGAGTATTTTTTCAGAAAGAGATTTTTTTTTTTTTTTTTTTTTTTAATGGGAGGTTCTGTGTAAATATAAGATTGGACCTATTCAGAACAGATCATCCTGGAACAAGGAAAACCAATCTCACGATCTGGAAGGCCCCCAAAATGGGCCAGAAGTGTAAAAGAGAAGCAAATGCAAATCTAGCAATCCACCAGCAGAGAAATGAGAATATTTTTACCATGTTCCTTTAGACCTATTTCTTTCTCCTATCACTTGAGTATGAAGCAATTTCTTCCCTGAAATCCTGCATAAGATTTTAGCCTTTGTCTCATATCCCTGAAAATTATACTGTAAGCTTTAAGCAGAAAGAAAAATCAAAATCTGAGGGGCTGTTCTAAATTAATGAAGATCATTTCTCTTTGGAACTAGTAAAATTGTGCTGCAGGGCCCCATTTCTGTGAAAGGATAATTGATAGAAAGCTGTGCTCAGGAGCAGCGGCACCAGGGAGATGGAGGCTCCAATACTTTGGGCCAAAAGAAGGTAAAGGGCATATGAGTTCAGCATATTAAGACACTCCATCAGCAGAAGCAATGACAGAGTCTTGTTTTCAACTCCAATAATGACCAAAAGCTTTCACTCAGGGATTCCTACGCAAAGACCAAAATACCGTGATTAAAACAAAGAATAAATTACTGTTAATGCAGAGTTTGGGTGTAAAAGAGTCTTTGTCTTTAATAACAAAGGATGATAGCAACAATAACACCAAAAACAGAGAGCAAAGCTAAAACCCTACTCCAGCCACTCCGAACACTTTCTTTATACCCTCTGCCATTTCTGTATTTAGGTTGAAATTTTTCTTTCTTTTTTTCTTTCCCTCTTTCCCTTTTTCTTTTCTTCTCTCTTTTTTTTTTTTTTTTTTTTTTTCCTTGCCTTTATTTGCCAACTTCTGCCTTCACATCCTTTCAGGTTTAATATGACTCTCTTCATTCATTTCTCTTTAGTCCTCCTTCTCATCTTCTCCCAAAGTAGTCCCATTTAGCTCTTTGTCCTTTCAYATTTATTCCCTTTTTGTTCATTCATCTTTCAAATCTGACTTATGTTGTTAATTCACCAAAACAGACACAGCATTAGCTTCTTTTTTATTACACAGTGGCTTGACACTCTTGGTTTTCTGTCAGTTATGCCTTCTTCTAGCTATCACTTGATTTCTTTGAGTGTGTTTTTCCYCTAGCATTTTTGCAGACTTCATCCAGTATCAGAATTCCTGTTGTATAGTTTATTTAAACCTCACTTCTCCCTTCCATATTTTTCTTTATATCTATTGATCTGGATACTGCTTCCTGTCACTTGGACTCAGTCTTTTGCCCCACTCTCTACAATATTCATCATTCTAGCCTAGGCTTCAAATTAAAGTCAGATTCTTCTGGTTTAGCAATCCCTAAGCTACTGGATAGACTGGGAGAAATTCCATAGTCATGAAGAAAGTAGAGTTTAAATAAAAATTAGAACAAGATTTTTTTCTATTCCTGGCATKCCATTACTCCATTTTTCTTCTCCAACTTTTATCATCCTATTACTGCTGTCAAATCACTCATTTCCAGATCAGCTTCTTTTTTCTGCTTTTTCCCAACAGGTTCATCCTCTTAAACTTTTTTTAAAAAAAAAAAAAAAAAAAACTTTTTTTTTAAACTATGTTAATGCAGTCATCATGTGTTATAGGCAGGAGGAGAAAAAAAAACAAACCATCAAAAATATTTTAAGTATGTTTACTAATTTCAAAATACTTAGTCATTCAATGCATGAATTTACACAGCATCACTACAAAAGTRTATTCTTTCTAAATAAAATATCCCAAACATTTATTCCTTTCACCATCCATCTCTTCAGTTTCTAATTCATAACGTTTCATGGCAACAAAGTATCGGACAAATGTTTCACCTAATGCTTCCTTAATGCATGAATCTTTCTCGAGTGCAACAAGAGCATCTTCTAGTTTCAGAGGGATTGATGAAGGTTTTGGATCAGAAATGTGGTTTTCTTCCTCCAAAGTATCATACCTAAGTCCTCTCTTTACTCCATCTAGACCTGCAGCAACAGTAGCAGCAAGCACCAAATAGGGGTTTGCTGTAGCAGAACTTAACCTATTCTCTATGTGAGTGCCTTTTCCATCATGACTTTTGACATTAAAGGCACAGCTGTTATCATTATATGCCCATTTTGCATTTACAGTCTCTTTGGATTCTTTACTGTATTTGGAAAAAGGCTTACGGCAGCTGGTGGTAGGAGCCATCAAGCAGCTGATAGCTGCCGTATGTGCCAAGAGACCTGACAACCAATATTTTCCAACATCACTGAGCTCCTCAGTTCCATAGCCGAGAGAAAACAAATTCTTCTGGCCACTCAGATCCCACAGGCTATGTGACAGAATCCCCGAATTGTAGAATCCTGACTCTGAGAAAAAGCTAGCCACATAGCTATACTTCTTAGCCACTTCTTTAATGCCTGTTCTGAAAGTGAAGGCACTGTCAGCAGCATCTGTGCCGAACTCTGGGTGAAAAGTGATCTCCATTTGTCCAGGTCCACTGGAAGAAGAAAAGCTTTCGATGTTGGCACCAGCATAATACATTCCTTCAATGAGCTCCTGAATGAAAGCCTGATCATGGTTATTTAGTATCGTTGCTGCAGGAAAAGATATTGTCTTTGAATTTACAACCTCAGTAATGCCATAAATGCAAAATTCATAAGTGAAAGCAGAGCGTAGAGAAAAACCATTGTCCTGAAGCTGGCTCAGCTGTTTCTTGGCAATGTGCCTGGGTGAGGTCATCAGAGGGTTGCCCTGTACGGTGAAGGAATCACATATCACTCGAGCAGTCTGTTCGGTCCAGGGTAGAACTCGAAAAGTTGATAAATCAGGGTTCAGAATTATATCACAATTAAAATTGGTTGCRTTTAAGTAATCTATTTCACTATCCTTAGGATTCAGAGTCAGTTCCAGATAACTTCTGGGCATGGAAACACCATGAATTACTTTTTCCTAAACACAGAACAAAAAGACAGATTAAGTGAGAGAGAAACACTGTATTATTTTTTTATATGTAAGGTATGTAWAACCCAAATTCTCTGTAGGAACAATAGAATTTCTCATAAAAGAACACTGAAAAAAACCATCCCTGAAGTCAGTGACAACAGTGAACATGTTATTATGGTGGGATAAGCTTGCACAAGAGTAGTGTGAAAATCCTCATCAAATATCACAATRACCATTTTATAATGTCCCTTAAAGATCAAAAAAATTTCTTCAGCACCTCATCTTACATGGTCTTCATGGTTATCAGCATCAAATGAATGCAAATTAAGCTATAAAAACCTTGTAAATCAAAATCATATCTCCCATATTTCTATCAGTCTTCCACATTCTCTGAGCATTTGTTTTATACTGATCCAAGTGACCATAGAAAMTCAAGGCAATTCAAAACTAGGCTTGACCTCTCTTTAGATTCCACAGCAGATACCTCAAACAGTTTTCAGATGCAAAGCGTAATCCAAAACTTTCACTTTCTGAATTTATTTAGTTCAGAAAAAAATAGAAGCACCTCTAAGTGCTAAAGTACACTAATATTTCAGTATTTCCTTTTTTAAAAAAATAGATAGCAAACTGGATTAACTCACAATTCTACCCTCATGTCCATTTGAAGAGATAGCTTCCACTCACATGAGTGAAATGTAGATAACATCCTAAGGATGGATCTTCCACCTTCAAGCAAGCATATTGTCTTCTCTTTAAACAAGCAAATTAAAAAGAAAAAAAACTGCCTTGCTTTAAGGATATTGTCAGTCTAGTGGTCACAATTCTCCCTATGTAACACGTTTTCATCCCCTAATAATAACTGCATGGTGAAGACTGATGTCTAAGCGGTAAACACAACACTGAAAGGGAGGTGAAGGTAGGTAGGTAGTACCACCTCCCCTCCCTATCTCTGTCTCCTTGAAAACGGTTATAGCATTTCTCTTAGAATGAAATAACAGAAATTACTCTCTCTCTCTCTCTATATATATATAAACAGCATAGGTATACATATAGATACATAGATATATATATACACATGTGTATTTTTCAGCGTCCAAAGATTCAGATTGTCATGCAAATCTTCAKTTTGTTCAACTGCTAAGGTAAACACGAAAGCTGACTTTGATCAACCTGAAAAAAAATATTTACAGTTGGATTTAGCAACTGAAAGAGCAGTTGCAATTAACCTATCACTCCTCACAAGCATGAAAATGACTGAGCAAAGGTTTATTTCTTATAAAATCCAACTAACATCAGAGAGATTAAATTCTGTCTTGATGATACAGTTGAAAGGTGTAGGAAAATCTAAAAGGAAAATAATGAAAACATGACTTATGCTTCAAAAGGAGCTTGAAATGAAAGTGTTCTCTGTCTTGTCATGTTGCTATCTCTTTTGTGATCACTCAGCAAAGTATGAAATATTCATAGTGATATGTGAGTGAAAATATAATACAGCTATGCACATGAAGTATCACAGCAACAGTGTACTAAAAAGGCTGATGGGTCAAGGATACAAATTCTGAGAATTGTTTTGCAATTTGGTTCTTATTTTCTGAGTCATCAATATGACAGATATTGCCATTAAGGCATCATGCAACCCAATGATGTTTTTTTATCTGATTGAGGACTATTGGATTTCTCATATCCAAAGTGATTTTCATGTCGTTTTGGTTTTTTTTTAGTGTTTGCTCTTTTCCTTTTGCTGATGCTCAGTAAAACAAAATCTTTAGAACTGTGGTTAGCCTTAAAAATAATTCTAAGGACAATATTTGAAGAAAGAATAGCAATTACTAGCCTTACTTAATTACATTACTATTTCTGTGGAAAAGAGGAATAGATGATTATGGTGATGAAAAAAACACCTATCCTTTAGAAACATTAACAAGGGGAAGGAACAGATGATTTGTTCTAAGTTTCAGTTTCTTTCTGCCTTATAAAAAATATATATCATATAAATTACAGATAGGAACAGGAAAACACACAAAGGTACATATAGAAGCCAAAAAACTTACATGAAAAAAGCGAGAAGGAATGTTCTTTGATCTTGACACACCATGGAGGTCTATTGACTCAAATCTGACAAACTGTACATTGTCCCTGGCCATCTGTTGCTTAATAAATTCAATATGAGAGAACTGGTGAAGACGAGTTGGACTTCCACGGCCGTTTTCATCAGGCTCCCTGCTGGACACTGTGAGTGAAGAGGAATGTCATGTCAAAAAAAAATTATGAATGTTGGAATACAAGCTGTTCTCCTAAAAAGTGAAGCAGTGCCAAACTGTGATAGAGTTTATAAAAATAAAAATAAGAAAAAGATAAGAGTCTCTCTTAGATCTAGCAACAATAACTTTCTTTCACAAATGTCTTGATCTTTATGCCTGAATTTATTTTGGGTATCTAAGCATCATTATTCAAATAAAACTGCATAAAGGATTAACTTCATTTTACTGCAATAAATCCAGCCAAGTGCAGATTTTGATACTAAAATATGAAAAAATGTTTTTAAAAAAAAGGCTTTCTGGCTTTTAGGAGTCCTTCATTCTTCCAAGGAGACTGAGAATGTAATCAATCAGATGAATTTTCGTAGATCTTGCAGATCCACAGCACAAGATTTACCAACAACAGCTGTTCATTGCCACGCTTCAGGTAGAAGTTACAAGCTTCCTCACTGAGACACCACCAAGGATGATGTGAGTGTTCCTCTTCTCTCCAATACCAAATCTTCCAAATCAGCAGACACAAAATGGATCTTTCTCATCTCCTCAAACAGGGAGCCGAGACTGCCAGCTGAGAGGCTGCAAGGAGTGCCTGAACACAGTAACCTGTCCAACCCACCCAGCACACAGTTGTTGGATTTTTCCTTGAGAAGGCAGCAAACTCCTTCACAGTCATAGACTGCTTGGAGCCTTTTAATAGAGATAATCACAAGTCAGCTTCCGATGGCAAGGAGCTGACAAAGATGCTGAAGGTTTTAAGTCAGTWAAGTAAGAATAGCTTCTCGCTTCTTGAGGAATGACAGATAAAAGAGCAAACAAGAGTTTACATACATATAAAAGTCTATAAAATCAGAATAAAAAGAAAAAAGTGCAGAACCAAGAAGTTTGTCACATCCACTTCTCATAATTCCTTTTTCTTTTGACTATCTCAGCTAAAAGCTGTTTATGGGAATAGTATTTTCACTGTGTCTTCTATAAACACCAGGGAAGTATGTCTTTAAAAATATGCCTGTGAATAAGGAAGTCCTGTTCAAACATTTTGTATAACACTCACTCTGCTACAAATGCTGCATCACTGCACCATTCAAGCAATAGCTATTCCATATCAATCATCTCTTAATTAATAGAACATTAATACTTATGGATATTTAGCAGACAACCTCCYTATGAATTGGATCATCAGTTAACAGCTTATTAACAGATAACATACCACACTTGTTTATTATAAGGATAGGATTAAAAAAAAATCTGAAAGCTTCCTTTAGATTATAGCCAACTTCATTTTCTTTAGCTCCAGGGACAGAAACATGATATTTTAGCTCTGAAAAATCTGTGTTCTATCCCGGGCTCTGCAGCTGTTTTCTTGTGTAAAAAATGGTAGACACTTCTTGTTTAGATTTTCATTTTAAAAATCAAATTTAAAAATCAGATTGACCAAATTTCTTAAAGCAAAGACATGCATATAGACCCTTGGATTTTTACATCRAATCAGTAGCATATAGATAAGCACGTAATGTTTGGTTTTTTATAGTTCTATCTCTAGCTCTCCTTTAAGTTACAACTGAGAAATAGCTAATATTATTTATGCTTGTTTTGCAATTACTACCTATAAACAAATAACAAATAATAAACAAAATAGCTATAAATATTATGAAAAAGCAAAAAAATACCTACAAATTATACTACCAGAACAGTGTTGTTGTTTTTAAATCATTAGTACTTGAAAGCATTCCTGAGGAATCTGATTCCTGAATGCACCTGATTTCTGTCTAAGGCAATTAGTTTATGTTACTTTACCTTTTCCTCAACAGAAAAACACCATGACACAATCAGATCAATCTGTCATTATCTGCCATCCAAAACACAGCGAACAATTTCTCTGTCCTCTTAGAGGTGACTGTGTCAATCTGATGAAATAAAAAGAACATGCTGTACTTTGCCAGGGGACTTAACCATGGCAGAAAAATGTTGACCCAGCAAATGCAGCAATACTGAAAAGTCTTTGTTGAGAGATATGAACACCAGGGCAAGGTAAAGCAATAACAGAAACCAGCGGGTACGTGCTAGATACTCATCAGGCACTAGTAAAGGAGATATGTTTCCATCAGTCCCCCACAGGCACCCCTGCCTGCTCCCATTCCAGCGGCACCAGCTGYGCCAGATGTGTCCCCTCCTGATACGACACTGCAGCAGTCATGCTGCCTAGCACCATTTTAGATGGGGGTTACACACATACGTTATGCACACRGTATATGTTATGGTCCTAATGCAGACCCTGGTGGTCTGTTCCATGTTGTGATATCCATTTCTGTCTCAGAGCTTTAGGCCAATAAAAACCCCAGCTATTGTGTGAATGACTAGACCTGTCAAGTCAGTGATTCATCAAAYTTGTTCTGTCTTTGTCACTGGCTACTACAAGAAAAAGCAAGACATCCTTTGTAAGATGGTTATAATCTGTCTATAGGAAAGTTATATCAAATCCTCACTAAAAATTGTCTTATGATAAGAAGCAGGAGGGCTTATTTTGAGAGATTTGTTTTGATTTTGAAATAATCTGCTTTTTCATCCTTAGAAATACTTTGAGAATGTTGGCTCATCTGTTTTTATAAAAACAGATACTTCRTAGTGATGATACTCAGTAGCAAAGAATTTTACTGAGCAATTATAAAAAAAAAATCCTTGTATACTCTATGGAAATAACTTTATCAACTAATTCAAATATGGCTGCTCTTCCTTGGACAGCTCCAGTTTGTGCATTTAAGACATTCTGCTTTGTTTATACAACATGCTGCACAGTGTGCTCACGTTTGTCCTTCATCTGCAACCTTTTTCYGTGTTATACGTTATTCTTCTTGCTAATATCTAAAGTTTGTCTTTCTATGCTCATCTTTTTTTAATACAGTAAATAACAACGACTACTGGTTTGCATGTGAATAGTACTATAGAATTGAATAGTTACCAGAAGAATTTATGGTTGAAAATATCACATAATCTGTCATTTAAATTCCTTTTCACCTAAAAGTAATTTCACCGAAAAAGTTTACTCGTTTGGTAAGGTATGCAGTCAGATGCATACTTTTTATTTTTGCTTTCCTGCAAGACCTCTGACAAGAGAAGAAATATGCAAAAATACCAGAAACTTGTTCCAGTGTGGGAGTAAAAATTTCCCTGAGCAGTTTGATATTTCCAATGATTTTTCAATCTGTTTGACTTTGAATTTCAATATTCTGTTTTCTTTTTTGCTCTTATATGTGAAGCAGACATTTTTGCTGATATGGTCACAAGGAAGATTAACAAATTTTCCTGAGTTTTATAGCTAATTTAGAGACCAGTGAATAGTTTAAATCAATCAAAAAATATTTTTTCCRAGCTATAAAACAGTAACGTAAAACAGTAACATGCTGCAACTTCTCAGAAATGCTAGCTCATGAAGACTTTTATCCCTCAGTAGATAAAAGATAAATTACCTATTTTTGCTATCTTGAATGTTGCTTTATAAAAATGGATCTTATGTATTGAATGAGAAAAATGTAATAGCTTTATAGCTTTAGAGTAGTACCTTGGCAGAAGGATATAAAATTAAAATATACCCGCTGGAACTACCTCTCTAATAATTCTAAATATGATGGATCGATAATGGTATTTCTGTCTTCAATCTTAGTCAGAAAATCTGGATATAGGGAAGGGATCACTAAGCAAAGTACTGAGTTATGCAGTAGTGCAAATTAGCTAGCCTCTTCTGGTCTAAAAGTGTTGAACTGACATTTAAAAAAAAAAAAAAAAAAGTTTGATTAATTAATTAAGCAGGAACTGAGATTATTTAGAAAAAAAGCTTTTCACAGTGTTGAAGGTAAGGACCAGAAACTCTCCTTGAATGTACTGTAGGAGGAAGATAGCTAGCAGGGCAATAGAGGAGAAGACTCATCTCACTTCTCTTTAATCTATACTAACTGGCTAGTTAGCCTTTCACTTTGCTTGAACATGTGATTTTAGGTGACTTGCTTATCATGGACACCAGAGTCAGGACTGGTATCTCATCCCAAAAAGGGACATCATAGATAGTGAGTTAGGATGGAAATGATATCTGAGCATTTTGGAGTGTTGTAGATTGAGGAAAAAWTTAAAAATTGTAAAGTCATTGAGCACGAATCGATCCCAGCCATTAATATCATATATAAAGAATGTAAGGAATTTTGGTTTGCTTTAAAGGAAAATATTGTTTTTATATAATTCAGAAGGAAAAATCAAAAGATATGAATGACAGAAAATATTATATGGCTGGTGTAAGAGAAAATAGGGGCAACTGAGAAGGTTGAGAAAGGAGCTGAGCTTGAGCCACATCGAATTTGTGTTGACTTCAAAATATACAAAGAGAAATATCAGGGAATTTTTCTTAAAATAGAGATTAGGCATAAGGAGGGAACATGAAGTAATATTATGGCTCTATATTTTTAAGAAAGCTACAAGAACACAGCAGATTATGTAAAAATTGAAGTACAGAGAGCTATAGGTCTCAAGTAATTTCCAAAACAGTCTCAAGTAATTTCCAGGCTAGGAGGTAGTTATTCTGCAGGTATGTTCACAGAGGCAATAAATACGGAATACTTGTAATAGTAACTGAACTACTTTTGCTAGGTCAGTAAATTGCCCACTTCTACCTCCTGGGATCTCTATTATTTTTTCCTGACTAGACTTACTAGGCAGAATCAGTTCAGTCAGAGATGCCTCTTCCAGGTGAGCACAGAGGACAGTAAACCAGAGAGTTGTTGCAAGTTTTGTTAAAGCATCTAGGAAAACTATTTTATTTCATTGGAGAAAAAAAGCTACTTAAAATAATCTTMTTTTCATATTTCTGTCCCTAAAAACTAGCTATTTTCCTTTATAACAACCCTATTACCTGCGGTTAGAGCTCTGAGCAAGTTAAGCATAGCACCATGAGGTTAATCTTTGCAGTGGAGATGGAAAGTGATGGAAAGGACAGATGAACTCCACTCTAAACAACAAACATACCCTGTTAGTAGCTCCTTGTATTCTCTTTAAAATGGGAGTTCGGCAAAGAAACTTACAGGTAATGTTTTTTGGGGTCTGCACCTAAATAATTTTTCATATGATTTCTGGAGGGACCATACCTGAAATACCTGTGCCCCTGAAGTTTTAACAGCCTCTGGGTAGGTACTGTTACTACAGCTGTTACTACAGCTACTACTACTGTTACTACAGCTGAAATAAATTTTCGCTCTTCAAAAACTTCCTTCTCCATGCTGCAGTCCCTGACCTGATGAYAGTCATATTTGGTCTTACTTATTGATGTGAGTTCAAGAATATCAGCCCTGTCAAGAGGACCAGCTCCTGGAGCTCCTCAGGTCATTGGGCCCAGCTCTGCAGCCTTATCTCATGCAGTTTACATAACAGTTTTTTTTCCCAGATAGAGACCAGGCATATAAGGGGGATATGAAGCCCCTGGTGAAAGTCCAATCTGAGGCTGTTACCCACCAACAGCTGCCTGGAAGTGTTGTGGACCCATGTGAACGAGAGGACATATTTCTGCTAAGGCTGGGCTGTGCACCAGTCTGTGCCGAAGAGTTTGGTGAGATCAAGAAACATTAGTACTGTATATATCTATAGCTCATGCATGCAGGTGCATATGCACATAYGTACATGCTATAAGTTGTGCTATGTAATGCTATGTTCATGCTATAACATGTTATACGGAATGCCATACATCTGAAGCATCACCTGAATTTTTGMTATTCAAAGCACTCTCTCTTGTTCTCTCAAGCACACAGACAGTGAACAGCATAGGATGCTCTTGATTTTTAAGGACTAGGTGGTAATTTACATAAATACATGCCATTACCATATCTGCGCACTTATGGAAATAAAATTCATAAATCCATGTGAGTGCAGTSAGTATATTTGCCTAATTAGCTGTACTTGTTGGCCATGTTGCCATGGTGACAAATGAACTTCAAAGAACTTTAGCTTCAGCCCTATTTTCACTGACATTGCCCAGGCATGATTTTCTCGCTGACCAGAATATGTTGCTTATCTTTCTTTTTTGATCTTTTTCCCATGTCCAAGCAATGATTTTGCAAAACATCTCACAAGCAATAGGAGAAATGCACACAAGACACAGAGAATTCCCACAGTATTTCTAAACAAATTTTTTTTTGTGGATTTATCATTTTTGGAGATATGCTAATAAAGTAACCGGTATGGCTGGGTTGAATCCTCTGTACTGATGCACTACCACTCAGCTACATATTGCAGTCCTTCTACTGCTGACCTCTAGGGATTCTCCTTTAATTGAAATGTATACATTTAGAACTAATCTATAGTCCTGCTTTTGCCATGACATTTCAAATGCACATGGTGCTCAGCTTAATGAGGAGGTAATTACACTAGGCACTACTTATATAATAATTACTTGCGTGCTATAGCCCTAGAATTTATATTCCATTGTATTTGGGATTCCATGTTAAAAAAAAAAAAAAAGAGAGAGAGAGCACAATTCTTTATGTGCTTTTTTAAATCCATTTTTCCTCCAAGTTTTGGATCAAGATTTCTGATTTGTGAAAGGTCAGGCATTTGAAGAATAGCAGAATACTAGAGGCTGTAGTTTAGATATATGCAATGTTAATATATGTTAAGATCCAAAACACTGATTCAGGCTTTTGGTAACTAAAATAGCTGAGATAATATTTTCCTCAAAAAATAAAATATTCAGGACTTTAATCAATCTTCATCTAATAAATCATCACTTATGGCAATGAAATACTGTTTATGCAAAGGCTCATTAAAGACTGCAGAATTTTATCTAAAACTTTTTTCTCTTCATTTAACTTATTGAATCTAGCTGATAAAAATTATATTTCAAAGTACATATATTTCTCATTAAGCAGAAAATATTTCTATAGAWTTTTTTTTTGCTTAAGGTAATCTTTTTTTTTTTAATTTACATATGTTAGGTCTACCATTAAAAAAAAAAAAAAGGTAAATTTATTTAGTACAAGCCGAATGGAGTTAAAACCTCAAGTTTCCACAACTCTTGTTTTTCATCTGTGTTTCAAATGAAACAAAACAATTTTCTCCCATCTTAGGTTTAATCTACTATTCTCTTACAGTCAATATTATTATAAATGATAAAAAAGGAAGATTAATCTGATGTAATTTTAAGCATTTCAGTGTTAGGTAAATATTCCAATCTAATTACATAGACTTCTTCCGCTTTGGATGTCTTTTAAAGAGATGCCTTTGCTTTTATAAGGTTAAAGTTAGATTACTTGAAATCTCTCAATGGAATCTACAGTTGATTTCATCAGTTCATAATGGCTTGTAAACAACRTTATGGCATTGCATAGTTATTCATACTATTTTAAAATATATTTGCTAGTTTTACAGACAATCAAAAAATGGCAGCAATCTAAATTCAACAATGCCACCAGTCACTCATCAAAATACTAACTTTTTGTACTAACTATTTTTTGTGCTAACAAGGTAATCTAAAAGGGGAAGAGCATTCAGTGAATGCTGAGGAATAATCCTCTGACTTGTTCATTATCTTAGATATGAGTGCTGAGAAATCTGAGTGCAAAATATCTTTGCAAAGTTTCATATATTTCAGTCAGTGAATTTTCACCAAGAATTTATATATAGATATAGATATAGATATAGATATAGATATAGATATAGATATAGATATAGATATAGATATAGATATAGATAGCTCGTTAACACTTGTTCAGACTGGGCAACACTATGGCTACTCCTGTATCTAATAAAAATTAGATATTGTCAAACTACCTGATTTTTCACAGTATTTATAGTAATGTTTCTGTCTGTGGGAAAGGAGACTTTTAAAAAGCTGGATAATAATTAAAGCTGAAGTAAATATTTTATCAACGAAAAGTTCTCTATGTCTTGTATCAGTAAGATAAATCAGAGAGCAACATATTTACCCTAGAAGATGATAATATGATCTGAATCTGATGGTGGATATTTATTAGTCTTGTATTTCTTCAGCTGGAAATTTGTTCTGTCTGTGCTTCCTAGAATAGACCCAAAACAACTAGCTGCTAAAGCCCATGATATTGTTATATCTAACAGTAACTTTCATTTTGCTGGTCCAGCTAACCCATAAGTTTATTTTTTACAGTTTCATAGAAAACATAGCCTATTAGTAGTAACTAATTGACTCTACAAACACTTTCAAAATGGACTTATTGAACAGCATGAAGATAAGTGGAAGTTCTCCGCTTCATTTGCTTTTCTTCCCTATAATTCTTAGTAGATGCTTTTGCATTCCAGTTCTCACAGGAATAATACTTGAAACCATCCTCTCTACATGGGAGTAATTTTATCTGCTGGAAATGYTAACAAAAAGGAAATTTCAAGAAGCCCAGATGCCTTCAAAGCTTTCCTGTGTCTAGTAAACTGCTAGAAAATGTTGCCTGTGTTTAGTTTAAATGAGAGAACATTTCAGTTTTAGTGAACAAAACATGACTGCTTGTGTGTGGCACTGTTTGCCAGGCAGCTGGGCTTTGCAAATGCTGTCCTAAAGAAAAAGCAGCAAAGACGTAGAGCACAATTTCTGATCCATTCCAGTAATACAGTAATTACAAATGTCAATTTTCTAATGCATTCATTCTGAATAAAATTTGCAACTTACAGATACCTCATAAAACAACATGAGCATTTTCATTAACAGTTCACTAGGTAATGCTTTAATATCCTTACCAGGCTCATCTGTGGAAGAGTCAAACTGACTTTCTGAAGTAGAGCTTTCTGCATTTTTAGAAGTTGAGGGTAATCTAAGAACAGGTTGATCCACGTCACTTCCTTCTGGTTGTTGCTGATCAGACCCAGCAGAGCTAAGAACTGAGAAGGGCTTGCTCTGCTGCCCGAATTCCTGGTTGTGGAAACTTTGGTGCTTTGGATTCCCCTCTCCAAAAYGGGCACTGAAAGTCTCGAAGGATCTCCCCTGCTTGTCGGCTTTCTCCTTTGGCTTCAGAATTTTTGGAAAAAAAGTGACTCCTGCCCTGCTATTATGTTTGGGTCTATGATTAAGCAGAGAACCTTCATTCAACAGGTTTCCCAATTCCTGCAAAGTTTGTTTAGAAATTCCTGTTGCCACCATGCAGAGCTCTCCAGGAGCACTACCCTGCACTGCATCCGTACTCTCAGGGGGACCGGACTGTGTCACACAAAACTTGGCTGCTTCTGTTCCCCAACATTCACCCTCTTCATTCTCTGTCCTCTCCGTGTTYCTTCCTTTACTCACTGTGTCCAAGCACCTCGATTCTTCTTCGTCGCTTGCAGGTTGTACTCGTATGGGCACATCCATTTTATCTGGAGTATCTATTTCCTTATGCAATTTTTCTGTCATTCTTTTCCCAGTGTCAGCAGACGCCTGGCTTTCTGCTGTTTCCTGTGGCATGCCTTCTTCCATGTTACTGCCAGTATGTCTTCTCTCCTTTTGTACTGGAGGAAAACTATCCAGGGCTTGAAGAGGCTGATCTGATTGTAGTTCTGAAAAACCAGTCGTTCCTTGAAGATCATACAGATCTGGGGGTTCTGAAGAGTTGGGCAACTGAATCTTCTCAGTTTCTACTGGAGAAACATATTTTGCAGCACCTTTGACTCCCTTTTTCTTTCTGAAACCACATATATTGTTGCCATCAGCTTCATCACTGCCACTTCCAGATATGTTCTGCAATCACCAACAAAATATATAACTAAATAATATGTATGAATGAAACAGAACAACAGGGGAAAGGAGAACCACCACCAGCTGCATTTACCATGTAGAACTTCCATTATTTCTTGCTGAAGGAGATCTCTGTGGAAATTACTTAATTCTGCTATTTTGATAATATTTTCCTGCAGGTTTCATTTTCTTAAGTTGTATAAAAGCATAATAAAAAAAAAATTCTAATAGAACATTGAGGCAGATTTGGTAGATTAAAATATAAGACATTGTACCTTGTATGATATCATTTGTCAAACAAATGCACATTTTAAATGCAGAAAAATATATCTGTGTAAATATATTTATGCATATTCATGTTATATGCATACTCATGTTATATTTATAGTATCAATATATTAATATCATTATAAAATATTATATAATATATTTCCATTGATTACAATTAATTATTAATATATTAATAGTATGATATAATTATAATTCTGTATTATATTACTAAGTATTATATTACTAAATAGATATTATTGTGATATATTTATAATATAATTTATGTTTATAAAAGAAACATCCTAAAAATACAGAACACTGGTGACCCTAATAGGCATTGCAACTGAAACCCAAAAAAAAAACCAGTTTTTGAGACAATTTCAGATTCTGATTTGGTCAAATRTCTACTCATGAACTCTCAAGGCAGTTCTCAAAAGGGTAAACCTGTTTTTGTGTGTGTAAACAGAAAAGAACCAGAAAGCAATGTTTATATACGACACTGATATATTTAGACTGAAGTGCTGGAGCCAGATTTTAAAACAGATGTAAAAAAAAAAAGGAACGCAGTTCAAAAACAAGGTACTAAAATGAATCCGTTTTCATTAATGATTACAATATCAAGAAATGTCTGGATGATCATCCCCCTCCGAGGGCCCTAGTGCTATGACAGGAATGGTTAAGCCATTGGTGATAAGGAAAAGGGGAATCAAACCCAGTCATATTCAAGTTTTTATTTTATGAAAATATTTTTGTTATTATATAAAAAGCACAGCGTTTATTTTATTTKWTTTGTTTTGTTTTGTTTATTATTTCACAAATTCATGAAGGTAGGGATTGAATTCTTCATCTCATGATGTTTTAATAAAGGCACTGTAATACGGTTTAAAAAAATTAAAATCATTCCGTAGCTGATCACAAGCATTTGTATTGCTCACAAATAGCTACAGAAGTATCCATTTAAGACTCCAGAAGATAAACAAAAGTCTCAGTTTCGTTGAGTCAGGCTGAAATTAATACCTATAAATTCACCGGGAAATCAAGGGATGTCCTTGGTATCAGCATCTTCAATATACTGACCATTCATTGACTTTCCTTCAGAGACATAATATGCACTTTCTCCAATTYCCAATTCCTTACAAAAGAAGCAAGAATATGAACAAAAGCAAGATGAATGGCAGTCTGGATAAGGGAAAAGAGATTCTCACTGGCGCACAAAAGAATTTAGAAGAAAAGGCAACAACATCTGAGACATACATGAAAAGTTGCAGCCACACGTAGTCCATTAAGATCATGAGCACTTTCCTTTTTCTATATTATTCCTCTATTTTCCTCATTATTTTCACCCATTATGCTCTTTTCCCTCATTATCTCATCAGAAAGGCATAGCAGTTCTCTCCTAACACAGAGCTTGCAATAACAGTTCCTAAATCTTTCTCCCTTGCTTTGAATTTCTGTAAAGTGCTATACTTAAAAATGCTTCAGAGGCTCATCTGTGAATTCCCACTTGTCTGGAAGGCAGCTGACTGCCAGCTCTCTARATAGAGGAAGCTCCACTGTGCCTAAAAGTCCTGTGCACATATCTCCGTATCATATCTCCTGGTTTATGATGTCCACTGGCAATCAATGCAGTTACTGAGTCATACATAATAGAAATCTTTGTTTGCCTCAGTTTTAATACTCACATTTTAACTAATATACTTCTTCATCAGAAAGTTTTGGTGTATTCTCATGCAATAATGGTTGGTGTACCCCTTAGCCCCTCCACATTCAGCTGTKCAGAGGAGGCCTAATTTCTACAGCTCTGCATTATTATAGGATATGAATATAATGAAGTAACACTTCTAAACAATGAAGTAGCCAAAGCATTTTCACACTTCCATTAGTAATACAAGAAATTGGATGAAACTGCAGGAAGAAGAGCTGGAGTGGAGGAGCCAGGGTTTGCCAAAAGGAAAATCACAAATCATGTTGAAATAAAGTAATAATAATAAAAAAAAGAGATTTTAAATTAAATTTCTATATCTATAAAGTAAAAAAAAAAGAAAGAGGGAGAGAAAGAAGCATAATCAATTTAAATATTGATTTTTCTTGTCTTCACAGGTATCGCATGTATCTCTTTGAGTACACAAGAGTCAGCGCCTGTGCAACTATTACCAGAGCAAAATCCTCAAGTTWCAGTCCTGGATAAGGGTAACACTAGAATGTCTTTCCTTTCAGCTCTCATATGTCACTGGCAGGCAAGAAGGCAAAAAGGAAGAAAGAATAGTATCATCAAACAAATATTTCAAAATTGTGCAGATAAAATTACTCTTAAGCTTTGTACAAGCTCTGGAGTGGAACATTAACTATATCATGAAATACAGCACTACTGAAAGGCATTTCATCTTTAAACCTGTCAATCCCAATGCTATAATAATCAGTCTGAGAACATCYGGATATGTGAAGTGTGGCCTTTGGGAGGAATAATAAATGCTGAGARTTCTAGTGTTTGAAAAGCAGGTGAAAATTCAAGGCAATTCTTAAACTTTTGCCTTAAAAGGATTCTACAGTTGGCTGAAAATATTATCTGTAATGTTCTACAAGATAAATTCAGAGGTTGCAGAGGGAAGTTTCTGCTTTTTTGCYTACTTTTTGTTTGTTTCATGACCTCAGACAAGACTGCAAATACTATAAAGTCTTTAAAAACTTCTCTCAGAAATGCATTGACAAAAAAAAATGAAGAAATGAGAAGAAAGCTCACATGATAATATTTGAAAGGAAAAATGAGAAAGATTTTAAGAGATGAGAAAGATTTAAAAGATTCCCTGAGTAATTGGGGATAAATAGCTGCAAAAGCAGTTCTATCATATTAAAAAAAAAAGAGTGAAAGAGACAATGGTGCATTGGTAGCAAGAGCTTTTGTACATCTAATCAACAAGAAAACCTATCCCTCTTGCTACTGACTATCCAAAACACAAAAACGCATCCACCTAGAAAAATGCACTGGCATCTCTATCATGTCCTTGTTTTCTCTTTTCTTTTTTCATATTATTAGCTAATTTTAGCTGAATAAAACAAGTCAAGATGTAAAAGTCTTGTGTTACTTAAAATAGAAAAAAACAGGAAACCAAAAATTACACATAAACAGAAGAGTCAAAAAATATAAATTATGATTCGCTGATTTTTTTGTTTATAGAAAGGTAAACTATTTCACTTGGGTTCGATTTTATATGCTAGAAAAACAAAGTCAATATGCTAGAAAAACAAAGTCACATCTTCAGGCTGGTATGGTCAAGTCAATCATTCTTGCAGCAAAAAATCTCAGAAAAATGGAAGCCAAATCTTGGCAAAAAAATGCTCTTTAAGTATCTCTTGCACAATAGTACTCATAAAACAAGTGCACTGGCACCCAATTTCTTTCTCTGTCTCTTCCTCTGACRCCTTGGAAAAAACTACTCAGTCACTTCATACCAGTATCTAGGCAGCAAAGGGGGAGAGGACATTGGACCAAGCTATCTGCTGCTGTGACTTTATGCTGCTTCACTGGAGTCACTAGAGCTACACAAATTTATATAAGGAGACAAGCTGGGCCAGTGAATCATACGGAGTGCCAGAGAACAACACAGATATTTCCAGGGGGTAATTCCAAGCACAAAGAGGGATTTTGGCTCTCACATGTGCTACTGGAATGTTATGTACTACTATAAACAGACACAGGTGGTTTGTAAGCTAGAGACATGAAGATCACAGCATGTTGTCAAGATACTGCTGTAACTAATTTCTCTCTCCATGACCTTGTTGGATGAAATGCATTTTTTAAAGAGTGATTTACTGCTTACTTCTCAGTGAAGAACCTACAAGTGGCATAAATATTAGGTATATACAACTATTTGCAGTTAGAAATGCTGAAGCACATACTTGCTATATGTCACAGGGATGTATGTGGTAACATTAGAAGCAGCAGCCTCCTTCCTTCTCTGAAACTTTAAAATATACTCAACATTATGTAATGCCCTTCACATGAAAATGAATGAATGAGCTTAACACAATACCTTGTCATTTATTTTTATAGCTGACATCTGCCTTTGTTGCTACCATCCAAAGCATCCATAATCTACATGCAATTATTAGATGAGGCTTCTCAAGGTCAATGATTCTCACTCTGCTTCAGAACAGCAGAGTTGTCCTTGTCATGTCGGGGAGATTATTTGCCAATACTCTCCCTTGGACTATGCCACCTGTACCATTCACAAAACACACTAAAATGAGATCCAGTCTCAAAAKGAAGAAGCTGATTTTAGACCAGGACAGTAGACTGATGGTACATCTCCAACTTGTGCAGCATAAATGAGATCTAAGAGCAGAATCCATTTAACACTTGATTAATCCTCTCTTCGAAAGACATTTGGAAAGGAAATAGACTTAATGATCTAAAACTCCTTTATATCTGATTTCTATGACTCATTTCACATACAAAGATGGTCTAGGAGGCAGTCAGTGACTCAGAGAAGGTGGGTCTTCAGCATATAAAGTATCCATTTGTTCACCTTGATAAAAATGTCTGGTAGCCTCAGGAAGTCTGCCTGCACCATTACTTCCAAATCACATTACATCTTTCTCATTATTTTTAATGAGACACTTAAAATTTATTTTATGTTTTCACAATGAGATGTCTTGCACTCTCTAACAAAATAACAAGTAAAAATATACTTTTACTGGATTAAAATAATATATTGCATTTTGAGGATCAGAATCTGCTTTAAAATACACACATACAGAATCTGGACAACTCTGCTTAGATCAGAAGACCTACTCAAGAGAGTTACTATATAATTCAGATCATATCATGGTCCACAAACTGTAGTTCCTTCATTTATATCAATGAAGACCAGCTAGTTTTCCACAAGTCTGAATGGGATCATACTTTTGATCTCTATTTTTATTACTTTTGATAAAAAAAAAAGAAAGACTTAAGAAGATAAATGGGTTAGAATTTCTTTCTAAATTACAAGTATTTTTAGGTTTATACAAGAAACTCTTCTTTGACTTTCTTCTGATTCAGAATAACAATTCAATTTRCATGAATGAAGAGCCCTATATGTAAACTACAATGAGGTATCAACTCAGCTGAAATCTTGAAGATTTAAAAAGTATTTTATATTAGTGTACCTGTTCGGAAATCATTCACAGTCTTACCTTCTGAGTGACATCTTTCTTTTGTTCCATGCCCACTTCATTCTAGTTCAAGTGACAATTAGAAATGGTCTGGTAAAAACCTAGTAAAAATACATCCCATATTTATAGACAGAGCTACAATAAACGTTAGTAAGGACAGAATTGCTGTAAAGTTCTTTTCCCAGAAGGCCATAGCAGATGATGACCCTAAATAAAGAGTAACCCTGATGTGTCATGGCCAGGAGCACAGTTTTCTGGAACAGTGTTAAAAGTAGTAAACTGACAAACACACATTATTAGCTGCCTGCCTGCCTGGAAACAAAGACAACCAAACATAAAACTGTTTTGCTCAACTTTTTTTTCCTCACAAAAGCGTTTTGTCCTGTAATGAGCCATTTTTATTCTGGAATAGAAACTATTGTTAGTCTCCTTAGAGGTAAAACCTATATTAGGCATTATAACAACAATATGTTATTGAGGCACATGGGCAGGAATTTGAAAGGCAACACACACTGCAAGGACAGCACATAGCACTGGCCTGTTATTCTAGGTGCTTATATGTTGCTAATCAATATTGGAGGATTTGGTTTTATTAGAATTTTGTATGTCTCTTTTTTTGCATCAAGCCTTTAACATTTTCATAGATTGGATAGCTAAGCTCGGGTTTTCTTGTAGCTTTGTATTTATTAGAATTTACATGAATTCAGAGGATTATGTTTAATTGGCATTTCATCTACTCAGGTCCCTTTAGTTAACATAAGATTAGAGGAGGCCTGTACTGTGTGTGTTTACAGTAGAACCCCTGAGAGTTGAACATTCAATAAGCTGATAAACATCTCATTAAGAATGGTATTTAACCTTAGCAAAACTGCAGCTTCATCAATTTCTTAGGTTTTTTAAAAATGAAAATTTAAAAAAATGAGTTTATTAAAGAGTAAATGATGATCAGGGGATAAGAGCTATAGCTCACAAAAATCATAAGCATCTTCAGCAAAATTTAGAAAGAGAAAAGCTCAAGTCCAAAATCATCATTCTGAAAACTCTTCTTCATCTTGAAGGTACTGAAAGGCCACAGCTCTAAATTTTGTGATTCCAGCTGCTTAAGTCCTGTGATTACCCCATTCTGAACTCTCTCCAGAGCAGAGTGAAGTTAAGCAGCTGGTTAACTCCAAAAGTGTGTCAGTATTCAAGAAATAGTCTTTCTTATAAGCACTTGACATTCTGTCAAACTGTTAAAAAAAGATCACAGTAAGACTGTGCTCCCAGAAAACAGACAGACTGAGAGTCAGACACATTTTGCACCTGKGAAGGAATAACTGCAGGAATAACCCTATCAATACAGAATAGGGGTCGACCTGCTGGAGAGCAGCTCCACGCAGAGGGACCTGGGAGTCCTGGTGGACACCAAGTTAACCATGAGGCAGCAGTGTGACCTCATGGCCAAGGAGGCCAATGGGATCCTGGCCTGCATCAGCAGGAGTGTGGCCAGCAAGTCGAGGGAGSGGGTCCTGCCCCTSTCCTCARCTCTGGTGAGGCCRCACCTGGAGTATTGRGTGCAGTTCTGGGCTCCCCAGTATAAGAGGAGGGAGTAGCTGCTAGAGAGGGTCCAGTGTAGAGTGACAAAGATGATTAAGGGACTGGAGCATATGAGGAAAGACTAAGCGAGCTGGGCCTGTTTAGCCTGGCGAAGAGAAAACTGAGAGRGGATCTGATTAATATGCATAAGTACATGAAGGAGGAATGCAGGGAGGAAGGGGCCAAACTCTTCTCYTTGGTGGCCAGTGACAGGACAACGGGCAATAGGTGTAAGTTGAAACACAGAAAGTTCCACCTGCCTGTGAGGAAGAACTTCTTGTCTGTGATGTTGCCAGAGCCCTGGAACAGGCTGCCCAGGGAGGTTGTGGAGTSTCCTTCTCTGGAGATCTTCCMAACCCACCTGGATGCCRCCCTGTGCCACATGCTCTAGGTTTCCCTGCTTGAGCRGGAAGGTTGGACTAGATGATCTCTAGAGGTCCCTTCCAACCATAACCATTCTGTGATTCTGTGATTTTGTTTACAAAATACTTCTGACAGTGAAGCCTCCATTCAGAATTTTTTTTTCTAAAAAAATCACCCTCAGATCACAAAGGTAMTACACATACAGATCCTTTTCTCAGGCAATGTATAGATGCTGCAGAACTATAGTTTGCCATGATGCATTCCAGATCCCTGGAAACTCATTGTATAGGAACTTCTTTAGTCKGTCAGTCTGAATTAATGAGTACTTTTAGATCAGGAAAAGAGTGGTGAGAAGCATCCTTACCATTCCTGTGACACTGACATAGATTCCTCATGATTGGAGCTGTCAAGCAGACCTGTTGCTTCAGCTTATCCAGCTGCYTCTCCCATCTTCCTACCCTTCCCTTTTTTCACTTCTTAGGATTATGGAAGCACCCTTGCCAGGCTTGAATCCCTTTAAGATGGGGTAAAAAAGTTCAATTCATGCTCTTTGCTAAGCAACTTTGAGATAGTTTCAATCATAATATTAACATGACATTGTGCTAAAAMAAATGGTTTTCCAGCTTTAACAATTTTACCAGTAAATCCAGCCCCTCAAAAATRTATACCAGGTAGCCTAAGATTTTCATAGATGTATTTTCTTCGTAGCATCACAGGAAAAGTCAAAAGATCTGTCTGTAAAGGATGTTCTCAAGATGAGGAGCAGAGATGTACACAYAATGTTCCTTTTCATTTTAGGAAGTACTACAGATATCATAAATTTGCATAATTCTTTAATTTAAATATACTGGGCTTCAGTTGCACTTTATCAAATCTTKATCTAAAAACATAGACATTTCAGAGAATAAATATAACATCAACCATTACAGAAGTGAACAGTTAATACTTAACTACAGATATTTTGTATGCACTGTCTGTGATGAATAAGCTGTAATGAGAAAGTGGAAACTGCTCATTATCCCATTAGTAGCTCTTCAGTAGCTAAAAAAGACATAAAGCTTCTCTGCTGACAGCTATTGCAGAAAATARCTACAGATCCTGGGGATTTCTCCACTGGCTAGCTGCCAAAAACTTTTATGCATGTAATTTGCCATCATTATTGTTTAGAACTATTTCTGAGGGCATCTGATGATGTCAAGTTTTTTGCACATGTTCTCTAAACAAGACATAAAAATTATCACAGCTTGTAATCTCTACCCATTCAAACTAGTTTTCCAAAAGTTTCTAACGTTTGTACTTAAGAAGGTTTAAATAGGAAAGAATCAAGCCTCAGGCCTCCACAAGGAAACTTTTTTTCCCCATTTGTAGAGGCTATCTCCAATTTTTAACTTCACACACTCTCCTGAAATGCCTAAATTTTTCAAAGGAAAGAGAATTTGTTTCTGAGAAAGCTCTCAAATATTGCCTGTGGCTTGCCAGGTTGTAGGAAAGGAAGATTACATCCTGTGTTCTGCTTATGAGCCTAGAAAATAATCTCAAATTAATTTTATCACTTCTTTTTATGATCAAACTTCTATGGGAAGCAACCATGCCCATTTCTAATCCTGGCAGACATACCAAAATATGTCTATACATTAGTCAGCTTCAAAGTAATCCTTTCCCTAGAGGCAGCTAAAAAAGGTAACTAAAGATTAACAGAGAAAATTGTCAGATGTAAATTTGTTTCTTCTACTTTCCTTCTTTCTTTTTTCTTTTAAATGCCCTTTTACAGCATTACACTTGATAGTATAACATGCATTTCCAAACTGTTGCTAAGSAGTCAGTATTAACTAACCTCCATACTATACTACAATGTACAGATATACAAGCTAAGAAGGATTTTGTACAGTCCTATCTCAAGAGCTTTTTAGTATAAACATTCTTGAGCTTCCARTTCCTAGACTGGCAATTATATACAGCAAAAAGAGATATTCACTAAGTCTCTTCCTCACCACCATAAATCTATAAAATTCTGTCCTAATACCTAAGAGCTGGCATTACAAAGTTAAAGGAGAAATCTGACTGTCAAAATCCCTTTTGGAAAATCTTACAAAATATGTTCTTTCGCCAACAGGATGTATTTTTTGGTTTTTAGYCAAACCCAGTGTCTTGCTACATTATAAAATAACTGTATTTTTGTCATGCAAGTATTTTTTTTATTCACCTGTTCTTCACAATCAACACGTTTTTCAGCATAAAGACAGAAGACTTCAGTCAGTTAAGTTCCATTTTTTATTGACCCCTAGTAAAATCTAGTAACAGAAAAATGATTAGAGCTTGTTATTCATACTGTTATTCATACTGATCCTCACTCAGTTATTGGAATATTTCAAATGGTTTCTGTTTCAGCACTCTCACAAGAATGTTTTCACTCCATATGATTGCAGTTATCCACTATCCTCTAATTAATAGCCCATTGCCTCTTTCTTGATTTACACACTAGTTATGTTGCTAGACACAATACTCGAAGAGCTTCTCACTCCACTATTTGTAGATGCCAAAAGATAGGTATAAAGAGTATTCACAGAAAGGAGAGGAGAGGACAGGAAAAATGTGGCCAAGTGTATTTAATGAAGTTAAGRGACTTTTTATATTAATGCCATAATGCCATAAGAAACCTTATCAACAGTTATCTTGTGCTCATAAGGATTGAAATTTTTGGAAATTGTAACATTATTTGTACTTGAATTGGTGCTCAGTGTATGTTCTCCATCATTTAATTATTAAAGTGCAATGACAGACATTTTTATATCTTTCCCAGTTCTTGTTCTTTCATAAGTAATATGGGGGCCTGCTGTTCATTTTATTCCTGAGATCACAATCCTGAGATCACTGAAATTTTAAAATCACTTATTCAATACGAAATAACCCCTGATTAGGAGATYATGAATATATTGTCATTCTATGAGTTGAAGAGGCTGTCGTTCTGTGACTTTTACACAAACAGACAAGCCATTATGAGTTCATATCAGTCCTAATATAAAGGAATCAAATACTTTTTCATCCTTTCATTGCTTCTTCTATCTTATAAAGTGACTGGAAATATTTCTCCTTCTTCCATCTATTGCTTTAGT